CATCAGCTATGGAAGAAAAGCAAGCTGGTGCCCACTTTTCTCCATGCCCACCTCTTCCAGCACCCTCTCCCCTTTGCAGACCCTCGCCCATCTGCTCCTTTTCCCCCGTTGTATAAATACCCCTGCCCTCTGCCAAAGAGCAGGGCGGTGGTCTTTCAGACATGCGTCTGCTGCCCTCCTCATTTGTCCACGAATTAAACTACTTTCCTTCTCCTCAAACTCTTTCCTTTTATTGGCTGAGGGAAACTGAGGCCAGCGTTCAACATCACCTGCGCTCCTGGACCAAGGCGGACAGGGCGCCTCAGATCACTGGGGAATAAGTGGGAGGCAGCTGGAGCAGCTGAGTTGATACACAAACTCCCTGGAGGGTACTTGCATGGAGAGGCTGCACAGATAACCTGGAGAATGGGAAGAAGGGGTAAGAGATAAGAGGAGAGGTGAGGTCTCACAACCTCCCTGTAGGAAAATAAAGTGTTAATGTCATTTTGCCAAGGACATTGGAAGATGTGCGACCACCTTTTGGTCCCCTGCTCCGGGAGCCTGGCCAGTGTCCAGACCAGGAGCCAAAAGATAGGGCTGGTTATGTAACTGTTTGCGATGTCCAGGACCACCAAGAAATATGGTTGGTTATGCAACACTGGGGTGTTGTGCATTGAAACGTGACAAGCCCACCATGAATCCCTGGGCTTGGATACTGGCCATGTCCGACCTTGGGAGATAAAAACACAGTGGTCGCCTAGCTGCTGCTGAACTTGGATACGTCTCCTGTGCTGTTTTCCAGAGTGCTGACTTTTTGCCTCCGTGATGCTGTTTTCCGGAGTGCTGACTCTTTGCCTCCATGATGCTGATTTCTGAGGAAATTGTACAGTATGTATGCATGTTCATTGGTTGGATTGGGTTTGGGGCACTATTTATAATTTTGCTCACACATCGCCTCTGTTGCTCACAATAAATCCTTTTTCCTTTAATACGGTGTGGTCATTAAATCCCATGGAAGAAAGCCTCCCTCAAACACCTGTGCACAGGGCTAGCAATTATATTTTATTGCTGTACATAATTGGCGTAGTCGGCAGGATTCCGTGTGACGATAAGGACCATGCCTTTCTTGGCTAAACGCTCGCCTCAGGTCGCTGTTGCTGCCCAGGATATTCCTGGGTGGGAAGATCCATGCTTTGCTGCTTTGGCTAAGGAATGGGCAGTGGGGAACGGCCTTAGTGAGTCTTGGGATGATCTGCTCCAAGATGTGCTGCCCCGCCTCAATTAATCCGGGCCCTTCAGAAGGTCCCGGTTGAGAAGGGGAAAGAACCGGGAGCAATATCCCGGCGGGGCTGGTTGTTGTTATCTGCTTATGACCGCTTATGCCATAGATTGGATGATTTGATTGATGAGAAATGTGACTCAAACACAGGCCTTAGTGAATACGGGAGTGGAGGCCACCCTGATTTATGGAAACCCTTAAAAATTTAAAGGAATGGCTATCATCATACAGGGTCTGGGAGGAAAAGAGATTCAAGCCACCCAGACCACTATATGTATGAGTATTAGTGGGTTACCCCCAAAATCCTATTCAATAGTAATCATTCCAATTCCAGAATATATCACAGGGATTGACATCCTAAAGGGAATGTCATTACACTTGAAAGACGGGGATTATCATTTTGCAATTAAAATGTTAATAATACATAATGTAGTGGTGGGAAAGTTGAAGCAGCCTCCTGTTTATCTTCCGTCGTCCCCATCCCGGTTGATAACTGCTAAACAATATAGGATTCCGGGTGGGCAGGACAAGATTGAACAGACTAATGCTGGAGTGCTGATAACCACCACCACTGCTTGGAATAATCCGATTTGGCCAGTCCGAAAAGCTGACGGATCGTGGCAGTGGACTATAGACAATTAAATCAGGTAACTCCGCAATTGACTGCTGCAGTCCCTGATACTGTTACCCTTATTGAAAATATTCAAGGACACCCTGGACAGTGGTATGCAGTGCTAGACTTAGCCAATGCCTTCTTCACTATCCCAATCTCACAAGACAGGTGGGAGTAGTTTGCTTTTACATGGAAAGGCCGACAATACATGTTCACCTGGTTGCCACAAGGATATAAACATAGCCCCACTATCTGCCACCGGATAGTGGCCGAACATTTAGATCAATATCAAGCCCCACCAGGGATTCAAATTGTCCACCTTAAAAAACTATTTTGGTTCATTCTAGGAAAAAGGTCTATTTCCCTGTGTTTTTCTGATTTTAAAGTCTAAATTGTCTAAAGTAAAAACTGCTGAGTTACTTTGGACTTGCTAACAAGCTATACAGAATGCTTATTGGTTAAATAAAAGCTTTTAAATTTACTTATTGGACCTGTAAAGGTTAAGTTTCTTGTTAAAACTAATTAACCACGTAAAATATAAAGTGGTAATACAGACATTATTGCGCTAATACTAAGCCTCAGATTTTGATAAAAGCCTAAAAACAGACTGTAAAAATGTACCTCTTCTCCTGTTCTTAAGATAACAGTGTTCTTTTTTTGTTTTAAAATATGCTCGTTCTCAATGAATAAAGTGTTGACAACCTAAAGCCAAAGGATCATTTCTTAAAAATATAAACTCAAAAAAAAAATATTTTCTTAACTAAAATGTTAGTAAAAACTGCCGTGACTGCTGTGGTCTTGAACCCAAGGTCTTTGGTAATAATTAAGATTAGACACTTATTCTCTGCACAGATTTTAGCTTTTAACTTATTAAAAACCTCAGTATCTTCACACATATTGGTAAAATAACTATGTTTTAAAATATATGCATATGGCCAAAATTTTAAATGTATATTGAGAAATCTCTGTGTCTGTTTGTGTCTGTCTTTGTGTTTTATTTTGTTTTTTTACCTCCGGAGGACTAATTATAAACGGCACCTATATAAGTTCTCATAAAAACAAATTTTGAGATCATAATCTCGAATTTTTAATATATAAAAACTAGTTTAAATTTTATGATATTCAAAGCATATATGCCTTAAAGTTATAGTGTTAATATTAATAATCTACTCTGTTTAAATGTATCTTTAAAGTATTTTTCTTTCCTTGACTAAAAACGTAAATATACTTATATATGTAATTTTTTTTTGTCATATTAACTTTACTAAGTGCAACTAAGCTATACTGTTTTTAAGTCAATTTTAATAATCTACAATGTTTAAAGTAACATTTTGGGGAGGCAAAAGCACCTCATTGTATTCTGGACTACTGAAAGGAAACCACCATCATGATTTGTTAAAGGTTTTAGTGGTGTCTGAAGAAAAGAGAAAGAGCAATTAATGACTGATGGTAAATAAAAAAAAAAAAAGGAAAGGGAGAGTAGTTTTGTCTTAAAATTAAAATGTCTGGTTGTGCCAGAGTGTGAAAAAATAGAAAAAAAGCTAAAATTGAGGGTATGTAGTAAGTCGTAAAAGGTTTGAGGGAAAGTAAACCTTATCTGCCTTGGTTTATAAAAACTGCAAACAATAGGTTTAAAGAAAAACAGTAATATGTGTTGGAAATTTAACTGTATTGCATTATTTAATCAATTTATTCACATAATGAAAAAAAGAAATTAATTAATACTAAAGCTTGCTTTCATATGGCCGCACAGGCCATTTCAGTAAAACTATCAACATTGTGCTACTGAACTAAGCCGGTGCCTTCATAGAGATTGAATATTGTTGTTTCTGCTGTTTTTCTGATATTTATGGCAAAGCTTCCCAGAAATCTAAATTCAAGTACAAATTTGGTAGCCTGTCATTTGGCTGATGCAAGGGAATTTGTGGAACCTCAGTAGAGCTCCTGAGACACTCCACAAAGTTTCTTCCTTTCCTCCGGGGAAAGGCGTTAGATAAATTTATTCTATTTGGCTTACCCAGTAAAGTAAAACTGGAAAGGAAGCATTGTCACTTGGGAAAATCGTAAAACTTGGGCATGTACAAAAATGTTGACACTGGTTTTCTAAAATGTGTATAAAACCTCTCAGTACCTGATATGTTTGTATATTGTCAGAGGTGATTGTCACCTTGTAATAGTACCTGATATGTATGTAAATTGTCAGTGGTGATTGTCACCTTGTAATATTGCATACTTCAATTGTTTGTTGATTGTTTATTGTTTATTGATTTTTATTCCAAAAATTGTTTCTGGAAAAATAGGGAAAAAAAAGACCTCAACGGATTCCTATTGATGGAACTGTTGAGAGTACAAATTTCCTGCACAGGACTAAATACACCTGATATTTTCTAAATTTTCTTTGACATAATACTGGTAAATTTTTTTTTGCATTTTGTTCTGAATCCACAAAGTTTTCTTGTTTTGGTGACCATGATCTGCAGCAAGGTTGCAATTCTTTTTTCCAGCAAAGCTAACTTGTGTTTGCATTTTCTCTCCCCTTGATACCAACACAGCATAAAAATAGTGGTAGTAATCTTTTACTACTTAGCTCAGAATCTGTTTTTGCATAACTTCCATAGGGATTTTTTCTGCTTAAACAAAAAAAATTTGGACATAAGTTTAATTGTGTGGCTTTGCGTGAAGTTCTTCCAAAGTTACAACAGAGCTGAACCAAGAAGAGGAGAACCTGTTTGCTTTGTTCATAGGGTTCCAGAAACCTCCAAAGAAGGTGAGGAAGCTTGCCTCCATTGGCAGGACTGGACAACTCAGCCAACGAAAAGTCCCTGGTACCCTCGAGAAGAGGAAAGCCCAGGTGGAGTCTGATGAGACCAACTTTGTTCCTAAAGCCTACATGGACCGGATGCCAAGGGTTTGCTCTGATTGTATATGGAGTATTCCAACAAAGCCAGCTAAAATTGCTGCTTAGTTATTCTGTCCTGTGATTGGATGCAAAAATAGATAATATGGTTTAAAAGTAAATTTAGTTTACAAACTTTTGCTATGCTGTTAAAGTTTGGGATCAAGGTTGGGAGAATTCATGTACTACATAAATTAAACCATTTTAAATTTTTTTTTTTTTTGAGATTTTGACATATTTGCTATCTTGTTTTGGCTAATGCCTCCAGATTTTTTTGGCTTGGACTGATGAACTGTTTTTCCAGAAATGGAGGACTTTTGCTTTCCACAATGGACAATACCTGAAGGGACTGGTTTTCTTTCACACTGGAACCTGGTACACTTTTCATCTGAGACTGCATCCCAACATCCATATATTCGATCTTCATCACCATAAAAACGATGGCCAAAAAAAAAGGGGGGGGGAGATACTGCAGGAGGCCTTGTTGCCCCAGCCAGATAGGATACTGACAAGAAGCTAAGAGAAAGGGCCTCACACCGTGGGGCTGAAAATCTGCCATTCCTTTGCTTTTTGTTCTTGGTCATAAAAAAAAATTTATTAAAAAATATATTGGGCAGTAAATGGTACGTGTCAACAGACTGTGGGTGGATGGCATGAAAAATTATCTGTTTAAAAATTAGTTATTAAACAATTTGGCCCACTTGACAATGAAAGGCAATTTATTGTACATGCCTGACAAGCAATCCAGCACAATAATTCTAGTAGGTCCTTCTTTTGCCTTCTCTTAAAGTTTCTTAAAAAAGTTTTTAAATAAAGCTACTTAAGTTTAAAAGTTTCTAGGTAAAAACAAAGTTCTAATAGCTGAGTAACAGCTGGTCTCCAGCTGAAGGCCATGCAAATAAAAAAAGTCTTTTCTTGCTTGGACTTTAGCTGATAGGATGTACTGGCGGCTATCTATTGTCTTAGGCTGTTGTTTAGCTAAAACAATGAGTTTTAGTGTAAGGCTTAGTTTTTTCATTAACTTGAAGGTTGCCTTCTCGCTAAGAGCACACACGTGGTGGCCAAAAGTCTATAAAAAAAGGGGGATGCACTAATTTTTCTGCTTTGTATGTATGTATATAATAATGCCATCTCTCGGCTTGCTAAAAAGTATAAATAAAAAACCTGCTGAGCCCCTCAGTAGAAGATACTGGCACCTCACCAAGTGTCAGTGTCTCCTCATTCTACCTCATCCCCTTCCCCTCAGCCCCTTTCGCTTCACCTAGGCCGTCTTTTCCTTTCACGGACTTCTGACCCGACATTTTGCCAAAAGCTGGTCTTCGGCACTTGCCCATAGTTTTTGGTATCAAAATCAGCCCTATGTCCCCGACAAACCGTAGGGCCAAAATGTAGGAAAATAAAGTGTTAATGTCGTTTTGCCGGGGACATTGGAAGATGTGCGACCACCTTTTGGCCCCCTGATCCGGGAGCCTGGCCAGCGCCCGGACCAGGAGCCAAAAGACAGGGCTGGTTATGTAACTGTTCGCGATGTCCGGGACCACCAAGAAATATGGCTGGTTATGTAACTCCGGGGCGTCGCGCACAGAAACGTGACCAGCCCACCATGAATCCCTGGGCTTGGATACTGGCCATATCCGACCTTGGGAGATAAAAACACAGTGGTCGCCCAGCTGCTGCTGAACTTGGATACGTCTCCTGTGCTGTTCTCCGGAGTGCTGACTCTGCCTCCGTGATGCTGATTTCTGAGGAAACTGTACAGTATGTATGCATGTTCATCGGTTTGGTTGGGTTTGGGGCACTGTTTATAATTTTGCTCGCACATCGCCTCTGTTGCTCACAATAAATCCTTTTTCCTTTAATACGGTGTGGTCACTGAATCCCACGGAATCGAGCCTCCCTCAAACACCTGTGCACAGGGCTAGCAATTATATTTTATTGCTAGTTACACTCCCTCAGGCTGGCACCTGCGGGGAGGATAGAGTGAGCATGGTCACAGCAGCACCCCCTCTCTGGTCAGGAAAGGAGGAGCCTCCCTCGGGTTCCTGACTGGCCTAGAGGACCCTAATTTGCCTCAGAACAGTTAAGGAATCCAGTGATTCCTGAGCCTGAAGGGAGACCAGCCCTGAAATCATCCTTCAAGGAAGGTTTTGAACCTGGCAGCCCTCTTGGGAACCATCAGTTTTTCTCACAGGGTCTTGTGATTGATCTGAGGACATTTTTCTGATCTGACTCCTGCTTTTCTGAGTCCCCAGGTCAGGAGCAAAAGTCTGTGCTCTTCTCCTTAGTGAACTGCATCCTCCTTATCAAGAACTGTCACCCTAATTCTAGACTTTCTAAGGAATAAGAGATTTTCCCAGACTCCCCAGACCAGGATGGTTTCTAGATTTTGTGCTTCCGCTTCTAAACCCACTGCCCTGTCCATTCTCAGAATGGTCACATGAGGGTTTTTCAGGGCCCATGAGAGAAAAACCCAGAGTGTGAAAGTTCTCACCCTTCTTCCTAGTGGCCCCAAGGATACACATGACCCACCACCCCACCTCTGACCAGAAGGTCACCCTGAGGTGCTGGGCCCTGGGATTCTATCCTGCGGACATCACCCTGACCTGGCAGTGAGAATGGGAGGACCTGACCCAGGACACGGAATTAGTGGAGACCAGGCCTGGGGGGAATGAAACCTTCCAGAAGTGGGCAGCTGTGGTGGTGCCTTCTGGAGAGGAGCAAAGATACACATGCTATGTGCAGCTGCTGGAGCCCTGAATGCTGGCTTGGGGTAAGGAGGGAACGTGAGCTCAGAGCTTCTCGAGATCAGGAGCCCTTCTGGAGACCTTCAGAGCATCAGATGGGGGCCTGAGGCTCAGAGTCTCCCTTTCCTTTCCCTTCCAGTGCCCCCTTCTCAGCCCATAGTCCCTACTGACTCCATCCACTCCACCATGGACATCATTGCTGCCCTGGTTCTCCTTGGAGCTGTGCTCATTGGGGCTCACTGTAGCTGTGATGTGGAGGTAGACGCTCAGGTAGGGAAGGGAGTGGGGGATCTTGTCCACTGGGGGCTGTCATGTCCCATGGAGAACTTGCCCTACCTGGTATGGGAAGTACCACCCACACACTTGTGTTGCGCAGTCTGGAGCTGATTGCCAACTGTGTTTTGTAAAGCATTTTTGAAAATGAATCACATTGTTTACCTTGATAATTCTGGTGAGGGGGTCCTGATCCCAGCAAATGAGAGAGGGGAAGGTCCCTGCTGAGGGCAGACGCAAGGAGGCACTTGGTCCAGTCCCCTCTACTTGGGGATTCCTTTAGGATTTCATAGCCTGACTCCTCTTTGGTCTCATGTGAAGCTTCTTCCCACAGGAGAACAAGGAGGAAGCTACACCCAGGCTGCAGATAAGTGTAGATCAGAGCTTTGGTCCCTGAGCCCCTGGGGACAGTGTAGAAGGAGCCCCTGGGGGAGTCACCCCCATCAGTCCCTTCTGTGGTCTCATCTCTCTATGGCTTTGACCAGGTTCCATTTTATTCTCCCCCAGGCAGTGACAGTGTCAAGGAATCTGATGTGTCTCTCACAGCTGCTAAAGGTGAGGAGGCCTGTGGTGGGAGGGGCTGGGGCAGAGAGGATGGGCCAGGTGATAGGGAAGCTGGGAGGCGGACATTCTGAGGATGCGGTGGACTATGGAGAATGTTGGCACTTAATGTGTTTCTTTGAATTTTTTATGATCATTTTCTTTCTCAGTGAGCCAGCTGCCTTGTGGGGGCTGAGTGATGCAGGATTTCTTCTCACCCCCACTTTGTAACTTCAAGATCCTCTGATTTCCTTTGCTGCAAAAGGCGTCAGTATGTGTCTCTGTTCTTACTAGATAATGTGAGGAGGTGGGGAGACTGGCCCAGCCCTGCCCACCAGGCCTCTCCCCACACTGACCTGAGTCTCTTCCTGATGACTTTCCTGCTCTAGCTGAGGCAGCTTGGTCTGCATCTACCCCTGTTTTTGTGTTTTCCTCAAGAATAGTAACTATTTCCTCCTTGAAATAATAATTTGAGTTCTGGAATTACTTTTTGTAAGCTTGCCCAATGGCTTTGGTGGGCTAATAAAAATGATTTCCAAAATTTGATATGAAATAAATGGGAAACCTTTCAGAATCACGTGTTTGCTGTGCTGAGTCTGGGCAGGTGGGGGCGGGAGAGGCTTTGAGGAGCCGAGGGGGATGGGGCCTGTGTCCAGTCAGTGCTCAGTGCGTCGTGGGCTTTGATGTGGTGACTCCTCAGCAGTCATCTCTCTACTCCTTTGTCCTTGTCCTTCAGGAGCACCTGTCCCAGCAGGGCCTGTGATCACAGGGACTCAGATACCACCTGGTCTTGTGCTGTCATGTCTGGGCTGGGAGTGCTTGTGTGGCCGGGTCAGCCCAGGCTCAGCTCAGGATCTAGCCTTTCTATGGATTCCTATTTGCTTCTTGTTTTATTTTATTATTTTTTTATTTTATTGTATATATATTTTTTGCTTTATGCCTGTTCTCCTTAATGTTTAGAGACCAGGCCTCATGTCCTCTGGGTCCCTGTTTCTGACAAGGGCGGAGTATCTGTCATTGTCCTCACAAAGCTCAGGGTATCCCCTGCACACAGGAGTCTGGTGAGATGGATATCCAGACTCATCTGATTTTTGGCCTCATTTAGGACTTTTTTCTGGATTATCATTTCTATCTTTTCCAACAAAATCCTGGTATTACTAGAGAGGAGGATTTGATAATTTTGTATGGATTGAGGTAAGTTCCTGATAGATTTCTATTTTTCTCTACAGCTTCTCCCTGTAACCCTGCCCTTAAATGTAGTAACCCCAGTGCTGGTGCTAATCGCGACCCATGGATTGATGGAGTCAGTTACCATCCTAGTTGGCTGAAAAATAGGACCGATAAGCCTAGGAATTTGGGCCTCCCTGGTGGCCCAGGGGTAAGTCTCAGCGCTATCACCTCTACACCCTGAGTTCAATCCCCAGCCAGGGAGCTAACACATATGGCACAGCAGAACTCTCCTGTTTTGCTCGTTGCTCCCTTTAGCAGTATATTTCAGTGAGTCTGCCTGTTCTGCTCCCCACTCTGTCTCTGGCAAATCCTCTCACCAACCCCACCCTGCACTTCTGACCTACACCCCAGTTCTTTATGCAAAAATAAATCTTAAAAAAAAAATACAAACCCCTTTTCGAAAGAAATACACCTGTGTAATGTGCCATAATAGTAAGACACGTTCTCTGGAACAGGGAGGTGCTTCACACTGATGACACAACTGATGTTGCACCAGATGTGTGACTGACTGTATATGAAACCTCAATGAACTAAAAACATGCACAACTTGCTGCCTGTGGAGAGTGTGTCCTAGTGGGAAGGGAAGACTGGGGACTGTGTGACAGTAGATCAGACAGTCAACCATGCGTGTCTGGTTAGAAGTGGGTAAGGGATGTGGGAAGGTGACAGGATGGTTTTCTTCCCAACGTGGTCAGTGGGGGTCTCACCGAAGTGACCTTTGAGGAAAAGCTGATGGACATGTTGCCCACAGGGATGTGATGTTCAGGGAAGTTCAGTCCCGGCAGGACAACCTCCAGTGCAGATGCATGAGCAGGAATGTGTCTGTGTGACTAGCATGACCAAGGAGGCCAAGGGCTGGAACAGAGGCCAACTGAGATGGGATCTGTGTGCACCCAGAACATTCAGCCTGAGGATGTTGGGAGGGTTTCACTCTCTGAGTAAGATGTGGGGTGACAAGAACTTCTGAGCAGATATACACCTGTGGGACTTCTCTCTGGTAGCCTCAGTCTGGCTGCTGTGCAGCATGGAAGGGGGAGAGGTGGGAAGAGAAATGGAGGAAACCAGTGCCGGTCCCAGGACAGAAAGTTTTGTGGCTTTGTTAGGTTGTGTGCAGGGAAAAAATGGGAAATGATAGGACTGTGCATAGTTAGGGATGGACATTACAGAGTTTCCTACTGCTGGGCTGTGAGAAAGGGGTCAGGATGACACTCAGTGTCTCAGACTGTGCAGGCAGAGAGGCAGAGCCTCAGTGACATAGGGAGACTCCAGAAGAGCCATATGTGGGCATCCCAGGCACTCAGTTTAGGAAAGTTGAATCAGATCTATTAGAATTGAAAGTGATGCTGGCAGTTGGACAGACAAGTCTGGGGCACAGGTGAAATGTGTGAGGTAAGAAATAGATCTGGGAGGTGATGTGATGTCAGTGATATTTAAATTCTTGAGCATGTAAGGGTCACCCAGAAAGTGATGACTAAGCAAGAGAAAGGAGCAGAATTGAACCCCCGATTCCACAGTGATGAGTAATCGGAGCAGAAACCCCCCAGAGCTGACTGCACAGTCTGACACATGGAGAAGATATGGAGACCAGGGAGCCCCCACTTCAGTGAGCAGAGGAGTCACCTGGACTCTCATGAAGACTCAGAAGGTCTAGAACTGGGCCTATGAGTCTGTTATTCATCCCCTCCCCCACCGTAGGGATGGAGAATTTAGGGTTGATGCTCAGGAAGAGGCACTTTCATCCCTGGAAGCAGGAACAAATAATAGGGACTCTGGATTTCAAGTTCCCATCCAAAGAGATTGAGGGAAACTGGGGAATCCAGATCTGGGGGAGCAACTGTTATGACCTAGACACCTGGCTCTTCCCTGAGGCCTGTACACATAGTTACCCACTAAGGGGTCAATTTGAGGACCCCTAACGTGACAGTGGACCTGTCTTGCTAGTGGGAGCCCAGAGGGCCCAGGGGGCCCAGATTTCAGGCCTTACGTCCAGTTCTTTTATCTATTTTGAGTTGATTTTTGTGCACGGTGAGAGGTAGTGGTCTAGTTTCATTTTTTTGCATGTGGAGGTCCAGTTTTCCCAGCACCATTCATTGAACAAACTGTCCGTGTTCCATTGCACATTCTTTGCTCCTTTGTCAAAGATTAAGTTGTTCATATAAGTGTGGCTTTATTTCTGGGCTCTCTATTGGTTCCACTGGTCTGTGTGTCTGTTTTTGTTCCAATACCAAACTGTTTTAATTATTATGGCTTTGTAGTATAGCTTGAAGCTTGGAAGTGTGATACCTCCTTTTTCCTTTGTTTTCATCAGAAAGAATTTTGCTATTCGTGGTCTTTTGTGGTTCCATGTGAATTTTATCAGTATTTATTCTATTTCTTTGAAGAATGTCATTGGGATTTTTATTAGAATAGCGTTGAATCTGTATATTGCTTTTGGGAGGATGGCCATTTTAATAATGTTGATTCTTACAATCCATGAGCAGAGGATGTCTTTCCATTTCTTTGTGTCTTCTTCAATTTCTTTGAACAGTGTTTTATAATTTTCTTTGTATAAGTCTTACACCTCTTTTGTGATGTTTATTCCCAAGAATTTGATTTTTTTGGATTCAATTATAAAAGGAATGGTTTTCTTAATTTCTTCTTCTGATTGATTGTGTATAGGAAAGCTACTGATTTTTGTGTTGATTTTGTATCCTGCTACTTTACTGAACTGGTTGATTATTTTCAGTAGTTTTTCTGTGGAGTTTTTAGGATTCTCTATGTATATTATCATATCGCCTGAAAGTAGTAATAGTTTGACTTCTTCTTTCCCTATTTGTATTCCTTGTATATCTTTCTTTTGTCTTATTGCCCTGGCTAGGCACTCTAGTATTATATTGAAGAGCAGTGGTGAGAGAGGACAATCTTGTCTTGTTCCTGATCTTCAAGGAAAGGCCCTCAGCTTTTTGCCATTGAGAATAATGTTGGCAGTGGGTTTGTTGTATATGGCTTTTATCATGTTAAGGTATGTTCCTTCTATCCCAAGAATTTCAAAGGCCTTCATCATAAATGGATGTTGGACTTTGTCGAATGCTTTCTCAGCATCTATTGATACGATCATATGGTTTTTATTTTTCTTTTTGTTGATGTGTTGGATTACTCTGATTGATTTTTGTATGTTGAACCATGATTGTGCCCCCGGGATGAATCCCACTTGATCGTGGTGTACTATCCCTTTGATGCATTGTTGGATTCTGTTGGCAAGGATTTTGTTGAGGATTTTTGCGTCTGGGTTCATTAGGGAGATTGGCCTATAATTTTCTTTTTTTTAAATTTATTTATTTATGCATACAAGAGCTGGGGTACAGGCCAGAGATGTGGGGGGGTGAGAGGATTTACCAGAGACAGAGTGGGGAACAGAACAGACAGACTGACTGAAGCACACTGCTGAGGGGAGCAGCTGGTGAGGCAGGAGAGGCCTGCTGTGCCATGTCGGTTGCTCTCGGGCCTGACTGGGATCGAACTCATATTGCAGAGGCTGCGTCATAGTGCGGTGCTTAACCCCTTACGCCACCAGGGAGGTCCCGGCCTGTAATTTTCCTTTTTTGTGCTGTCTTTGTTTGGGTTTTGGTATTAGTGTAATGCTGGCTTTGTATAATGGATTTGGTAGTATTCTTTCTTTTTCAATTTTTTGAAATTGTTTGTGTAGGATAGGCACTAATTCACTTGTGAACGTTTGGTAGAATTCATTTGTGAAGCTGTGTGGTCCTGGGCTTTTGTTTTGGGGGAGTGCTTTGATTACTGCCTCAATTTTGCTGCTTGTAATCGGTCTGTTCAGGTGTTCTATTTCTTCTTTGGACCATTTCTTTTTTTATTCCTGGGTTGTAAGACTTCACTTATAATATCAATTCTAGATACAAGTCCTTTCTCAGATACATGATCTGATTTGTAATAATTTCTCCCATTCTGTGTCTACACTCTTGTACTTATACAATAGTATACACTAGTGACTAGATACAGGCATAGATATATTTTTCTGGAAAGAGAAATGATAAATTGCTAACTGGTTTTGAGAAGATGAGTTGGCTCACTGGTGGGAAGTGCTGTTACTCATTTAGCTATGTAAATTCCTTTTTTAAAAAAATATTTTATTATTTATTTGTACAAGAACTGGGGTACAGGCCGGAGGTATGGGGGCTGAGAGGATTCACCACCGACAGAGCGGGGAACAGTCAGGCAGATCGACTGAAGTACACTCCTGGGAGTAGCTACATAAATTTTTGAGTATAAAATTTTCTTCTGTGCTCATGAAATAATACTTTCAAAGTTAAATCCTACTAAAATCCCTTCAACTGCATCATGTCCTA